TGTAATGTTGTTATGTTATTTTTTAATTGTAAATTCAATAAAATTTATAAAAAAAAAAAAAAAGCAGGAAACAAGAGGATTTTCAACCCGCGCGCAGCGCTTGTCAGCTGTCCAGGCTGCACAGCTGATTTCTTGCAAATGCTGCACGCACAAACTAGTTCAGAGAACCAGCAAATCACTCCACTGGCTGGTCCCGCGCCTCCCCGCCCACTCACTCCTTACCTGATATGCAAGCCATTCAACTTGCCTGGTTTGGTAAGTTGTTATTTTTTTCCTTTTTTCCCCCGACCATTAACTGATCTGCTCTGCCGGGAGATTTAGATTAGCTAGAAAGCAGGAAATCCTTGGATTTCTTGCTTTTTAGCTAATCTAAAAGCAGAGCCAAACCTTCCTTAGACTGAAGCTTCTATTTTCCAGTGCAGACTCAGGTAGCTGATTGGAGATAGATAGATCTCTAAGTGAATCTGTGATTCTGTGAGCAACTTAATCTGCCTGCCTGCTTTTGGGTAAAAGTTGCTCTTTTTAAATAAAAAAATCAATATTTACATATATGGAGTTTTGTGAGTTAATTTTGTGAGTTAGCTTGCAAGCAAATTTTATATGACTAACTCAGGTAGCCGATTGGAGATAGGTAGATCTCTAAGTGAATCTGTGAGCAACTTAATCTGCTTGCCTGCTTTGCCTGCTTTTGGGTAAAAATTGCTCTTTTTTATTAAAAAAATCAATATTTACATCAATATTTATAATATTTACACACAAGCCACACCCACCCAGTCACATGACCACCAAGCCACACCCATAAAGCCACACCCACAGAACGGGTTGTTAAGAAATTTGAACCCCACCCCTGGTCTTGCCCTTGCCTTTATCACCTCTTAATTACAGCATGTCACTGATGCAAATATGAAAAGGACTCTCCCTCTCCAAACAAACTATGATAGTTAACTTTGGGCAGATTAGAGCACCATATTGGAGGAAAAAAATCCATATGTAGTCTGATTTTCTCAAGTCACCTTATATTGAACATGACTGTAAGTCCTCTGTTGTCAGAATAGTTTTCCCCCCATGTTTGTCTTAAAATAATTAACAAACGCCATTCAACCCTGAAGTTCACTCTTTTGACTGTACATTTTATAAATTGCACACACTTGGTAGAATTCTAGATGGCACCTTATTTCAGATTGTGTTCTCTTGAATTGCATAGTGTGAATGTTGGGGTGTGGATTGTAAAGATGAGAGGGGAAGATGGTTACTGGTTAGCCTGACTGAGGGGATGCAGAATACAAGTCAAACACGTTCTCAGATGTGGCAGTAGCTGCTTAATGATGTCATTGGAGATTTGGATGGTGGGATGGGGTCTTTGTTTGGGAGGAAAAACAGATCTTTTCATATTTGCTTCAGTGACATGCTGTAATTGAGAGGTGATAAAGTCAGAAGATTGGGGCAATTGGGAGAGAAAGAGCAAACAAAGTTATTATGGTGATGTGAAGAGCAGAAGGTGCCTTTTTCTACTAAGGATGATATGGAAGTAGATGGGGCAGACTGCTCTACCAAGACAATAATGAGAGGAGATCAGACAGACTGCTCTCAGGGAGGGCAATCTCGGTATTTGAAATACAACATAAATCTAATCCATTTGGTTTCTGAAGTTGCTATTAGTGATCCAGTGTTAAAGGCTCCTTCGCTCATGATCTCAGGTGAACTTGCTTAGGTGCCAATGGAGACGCTTGGAAATAAGGGAGCCAAAGGATAGGCTTGGAAATGTACCCCACTGGGTTTGGTGCTGGGGCCAGGGCAGGCGTGTAGCCATTGATGAATATAACACTCTGAAGGGTACAGTATCCCCGCTCACTCACTCCTTACCTGGCATGCGAGCCATCCAACTTGCCTGGTTCAGTAAGTTGCTATTTTTCCTTTCTTTTTTTCTGACCATCAGCTGTTCTGCTCTGCCAGGAGGTGATTTAGATTAGCTAGAAAGCAGGAAATCCTTGGATTTCTTGTTTTCTAGCTAATCTAAAAGCAGAGCCGAACTTTCCTTAGAACTGAAGCTTTTCAGTGCAGACTGAGGTAGTCGATTGCAGATAGTTAGATCTCTAAATTAATCTAAATCTAAATTAATGATTATGTGAGCAATTCAGTCTGCCTCCTTTGCCTGCTTTGGGGTAAAAGTTGCTCTTTTTTATAAAAAATTCAATATTTACATACATGGTGTGTTGTGAGTTAATTTTGTGAGTTTGATTGCAAGGAAATTTTATGTGACAGACTGAGGTAGCCGATTGCAGATATATAGATCTCTAAATTAATCTGTAATTCTGTGAGCAACTCAATCTGCCTGCCTGCTTTGCCTGTTTTTTTAAATAAAATAATATTTACATAAATATTTATAATATTTACACACAAGCCATGCCCACCCAGTCACATGACCACCAAGCCATGCCCAGTTAGCAAGCCACACCCAACCAGTCACATGACCACCAAGCCATACCCACAAATTAGGCCACACCCACAGAACCAGTTGTTAAGACATTTGAATCCCACACCTGCCTTAATCTCTAATAATGGGCTCTAGTATGTGGTTCAACTGAGACCACAATCACCACTTGCAATAGGGGGTGATTATAGCCTTAGACCACCTTTATCTCTCCCTGATTCAGTTGAATAAGAAACTGGTAAAGGTCATCTGTCAACATGAGCCAACCATACACCTGTGCTCTAGGTTGACTAAGTGATGCTATCAAGGCTCTTTCCCAGTGTTTCAAAATTGTGGGTGCTTGGATGGGTAGAACAGCTCAAATCTGAGAAGATTAAGGCTGTGGGTTTTGAGATCCCTCGTCCCCAGATCTAGAGACACCACCTTCATTTCCATCTTTATCTTTGATGAACAGGGCAGTGTTCCCTCAGGATAGCATTAGTGTGCAATTTATGCTCCCCCCTGAACTTACGATTCCTGTTCGAAGAGACGGTGGCAGCTGTGGCCCAGAGGGCATTTGGACATATATGCCAGTTGTATCCATTTCTGGATTGGGAAGCCGTATTTCATGGTAATTCATGCCAATTTATGGCTTAGTCATCTTCCAGTTGGATTACTGTAATGCATTCTATATTTGGCTGCCCTTGAGGAGCATTTGAAAAATGCAAGTGATCCAGAGCGTTGTGGCATGGGAAGATTGGAGCCTTTCAAACTATGTCCATGTAACACCTTTGCTTTGCAACCTACACTGGATCCCATTGGGCTTCTCAGGGCAATTTAAGGTGCTAGTTATCACCTATGAAACTGTACAAAGCATAGGGTCAGGTCATGTTACCATTTCTGCTCATCCCACCATAACTGGAAGAATTGGCACGCTCCAAGTTCCATCTACTATGTTTGACAATGTCATCTTGTGCGACTTAGGAGTTACTTTTTTGTTTTGCTTCATTGCTCTGTGGGAACAGCAGCACCTTTTCCGAAAGTCTAGATGGCCCCAACCTTGTTGGTCTTGCATAAGGTGTTAAAGACCTGGGTGTTCCTAGGGTAGTTAATTAATTTATTTAGTCATTCATTTTTCCACATTTTTATCTTGCCAAAAATTCTGAATGGCTTCTATAGAGAATAAAAGGAAAGTAAAACATCCATAGTGTTCATAGCCTCCATATCAGCTATATAAACAGTAAAACAACACAGCTGCAGGTGGAAACTACAAAAAATAAAGAACTGAAAATGAAGGTGGTGTATTAAAATCAGGAGATGATAGTCTGGAACATCCCTTTCTTTAAAAGCTTCCAAAACATCATTAAAAAGGTGGGTAGCCTGATCCCAACCAAGAAGTTGGGGTTTCACAGCATTAGAAATGCGGTCCCTTCTTGCTTTAGCCCCTCAGACCTGAAAATGTGGGGTGGGTAAAGTTTATCTTGATTTGACTATGAGATTAAGCAAGCTCTATTGATTCATTAGTTATTGTTTTAGCAATTCAAAATGGAATCACTTTTTTTAAAACCCTGGCTATTCATTATATTACTGTTTTTCTGGATGCTGATTTTAAGTTGTCTTTTGATCCTCTGTATGCCTCATAGAATTACCTTGGTACCTATATACCTTATCTAAAGATAAATAAATAAATGCTATGATTTTTCTTCACACTTTTTTAATGTGAGTTTTTTTGTAAAAAAGTAGGAAAAAGTGCATTTTTGCTTGATGAAAAGTTTTCTGAGGTCTCAATTCTGGCTTTGTGAAGCATCACTAGGCAGCTGATAAAAGGAGTAGCTGAAGAATATGTGGTGAAATGATCTGTTTTTATTAGTTTTCCAAACTAGATAATTGTTTCAAATAATGAAAACATTGATTATGTCTGCCAAGGACCTTAAAATGTTCCCACTGTAAATCCCATATTTTCTAGGCTTAGTGACCATACTATTATAACTTGAACTGAAACTTGGCTTGAGTCTCTTAGAAGATAAGTTTTCTTTAGCAAATTTAATATAGTCAGCTGTTCCCTAAATTCTGGAGGTGGCAATTTTTCTTTTACTTAACTAGATAGGATATTACTTTCCAGTCTACTGACTCTAATTAGATTTATGAAAACAAAAATCCTGCTCACTTTAAAAATATGCACATTTTTATGTTTCATTGGCCACAAGACTTTTGCCTCCAAATGGTCTGCTTCTTTGCTTTGGTCAGTAATTGACTAAACACCACCTACCTCCCCTCTCATTTCTCCTTCTATATGCATATTTTCCTTTGCAGCATTATTCCTTTCAGCTGCCGTTTCCTTTTCTTTGCTGCAGTGCATTTATAAGCGTCTTTGGAAGAATGACTATATTAGGTTCTTGTGGATCTGACTCCTGATCTGGATTTGCAAAACTTTTATGGTGAACATAAAATATATACTGAATTATTCAGGAATTGAAACATTTCCAACCAGTCAATTCTTCATCCTGATGCAACCTATTTTCTTATCAAGATCTTTGTGGCAATTCTGCTTGATGTTACTATGTGAAAACTAAAGGTATTTTTTATCTTCTATTTTTATACTGTAGTTAGAAATGGAAAGCAGAACTGTAATTGGTTTGTCACTTCTTTGTTGAATTTTACTATTTCCACCCCACCGCCCCTTTTGGTCACTTCCTGAAAGTATGTTTAAGACGTGAACCCAGGAACTGAAAAGTCACTTGCAAGCTGTTTCAGCTTAAAATAATTATTTTTGGATTGACACTAATTCTGTGCTTTGTCACCGGCATCTATGTAATTGAAGATACTGAAAATTGAGATTTGAGTCTGAACTAGTTTTCATCAGTAGCAAGTCTTCAAGGACATCTACAACTGCATAGCAGAAGTTGCTCAGGTGGGAATCTCAAGGAGCATCAAATATGTTTATTAAATAAATGTGTAAGTTGAGGTTCCTGAAGTTATTGATAAAAAAATGAGTGTTTTTAAAAAATACCCTAGTCCTGCGCTTTTTCAGAGATCTGTTTCAGAGCAGGATGGCAACACTACAGAAATAGGATGTAGCTTGAAGGACTATCACTGGTATCACCAAGTGAAGAATAAAAAGTTATATGAAGATGCAGGTTTGGATTTAGCAAAGCTTCTTGGAACTTATCGATGGCAGACGACTCCTCGATTTCACTGGAAGATGACTAAGAGAACAGATGCATCAAAAGCTAATGAACACCCTTTGAGACTGCCAACATTAATTGCTGATGGTTGTCAAGAAGATCCTGAAGAAAAGGTTGCTATGCCAGCAACCAGGACATTTCGTGTTCCCTTCTTCAGGTCTGTCTCTGAACCTGCACCACACTGGAGAGACAGAAATCCAAAACCTCTTCTGCAACCAGAAGGTGGTGAGCAGGACAGTTACTTTATTCGTGGTTTCTTCTCCACAATCTCTGGCAGCCTTTCTAAGGTTTTGAGCTGGAGAGAAGAACGGGATTTAGCAGTGACAGATGAAATGGAGGACAAACATATGGATTTGGCTGAAGGTATAATTGTTTTTTTTCCCCTAGTTTTGTTTCTGAGCCAGACTACTTCTTTCTTAGCAATTATGATTTGAAGTGTTTTCTTTGGAAAAATTAAGTTGTCTTTTCTCTATTGCATTTAATTTTTTGTTTTGATTACCTGAGGACATGAATTGTTTAAACATTTGACAGCCTTCAAAGCTGTTAGTTTCTGAGTAATTGTTATTCATTAGAATAACAGTTATTAAATAAGTGAAATTATATTTCTTAATTGTCAATCATGTTAGGTAAGCTAAAATTGAAATTAGTCAATTTAAGATTCTTTTTAATGGGAAGTAATCATTTTAATGAATAGACAAAATATTGCATTATATTATGTTAGAGATATTAATATTTCTCAAACTACAACTATTAGTCTTCAGGTCCAATTAACATTCTATTTTTCTTGCTTTGATGATGCACAGAAAAGACTAAACTCATTAGCTCAAAGTCAATCAAATTCCTGTCACAGGATGTCTACCTGCCTGCATAAAAAGGTGCTTATAGTATGGCAGGTTAGAGTGAGTTTTCCTACATTTTCCTAGAATGACTTTCCTACTTTTAACTTTCTCAGTTTCAAATTCTTTCTATGCATTCCTCTTACTGTTTTTACACAAAGGCAGGAAATGACATCACTGTGCTCATTTACAAGGAAATTATGCTAAGTAAATAATGTGTAGAAAAACAAAGTCTCTTTAAATTGTACCCCAGTCAGTGAACTGATTCTTCTTACCATCTGATTACCTGTAGCTTTGTCACCTGTCAAGTAATTGATGAATACTAAAAAGCCAAGGAAAAGAAGATTTAAAGTTTTTAATGGGTGGAGATTTGATTACTTAGTATCTTACTATCACACTCTAGGTTTCTGGTAAATTCCCATTGAGAAAATTATTATCACAAGAAGAAAGATTTCCTTTTCAATTTTATTACCTATACAGATTCTCAATATCCAATCTAATTTGATAGATGTTACTGATTCAGCTGCAGTATAACATATGTACATTTTTTAACCTTTCCCTTAAAAAAACTTGTATAAATTTTTCTGATTATTGCAGTAAATGTCTGTAAACATCTGGAAATCATTGAGCCTATGGCTGGTTTGGCTGGTTTGATCTTCTACAATCAAGACCTCTTATTACAAGCGAGCTATGCTGACGTGGGCATTTAAAACCTCTTAATCACAGTCTAGTGCGCTTTTGTATTGGGGAACTCTGCAATTTCTTGACACAATAACTTGGTTATTGTTTTGACACAAAACAATAACCATCAAAACTAGAAACTTAAGATGAATTTCAAAATCTGTATGAAAATGTGGCAAAAGAGAAGATCTCTCATTGTAAATATTGTTGGAAATAATTTTCTGAAGAGAGCAGTGATGGAAAAATGGTATATTTAGTTATAATAATTGGACTACAATGTGGACTACAACAGTACAAAGTTAATATTTGTCAGTTAAATGGGAGGGGTGCAGGATGGAAAATAGAACATAAGTGAGGGGTTTTCTTTACTCTTTTTTCTCTTTATTTTATTGAAAGATGTTCTGGAAACCTGATGAATAATATAATTTGAATCCCTTTAAATGTTATTCAAAATAATAGAGGGGAGAAAGATGCAATGGTTGATGTACCAGGTTAGAAACTGTACAGGAAGCCATGAGTTCTGGTTCCACATTATGTATGAAGGCTGCAAGGTGACCTTGGATCACCAGTCACTCTCCTTCAGCCCTAGAAAGAAAGCAATGGGGAACCACTTCAGTGCATTTCCCACTGCTGGCTCCATTATTTGTGATAGTTGATCCCAAAAGGCTTGGGACCTTTCAGGCTGTTGTTGAAACTATTCCTGCTGTTCTTTCTTGGCTCCTGTGAGAAGGTCAGTGATTGCTGGAAAAGTTTCAATATGCAGGTATTTTACTGGGGCTTTTTCATGCTGTGCTGTGACTGCCAGATAATGTAAACTCCATTTCAGCTGAATTCAGCTTCAAGGAAGAAAAGAGCATTTATTAGTATTTGAAAATGGGAAGCACAATTAGGCATCATTAAAGCAAACATTGCATGGAGAGCCAAATCCTCAAAATAACCAGTCCACTTCCTTATATTGAACAATTTTGGGAAAAAAACCAGGACAGGACTGATAAATGTCCTTCAACATCACTGAGACAGTTTTTATTGACACAATACTCAACATCTAATTGTTTGGGCTTAAAATCCATCCAACTCTCTTGGTCTGCTCAGCTAAGCACCTTTTCAACAGGTGTGTGTGTGTTTGTATGCATGTGTGTGTGTGTATGTGAAAGAGAGAGATAAACACTTCCTGTCTGGAAACTTAATGCTAATCAGTTTGGTGATATAATTACTGCATTTTAAAAAATAAATGTGAAAACTGTTAAAATACAATTAAAACTGATTTTAACAGTTTACAGTCACTTAGAGATGAGGTGTGGTTATGTATGAGCCATGCTGAGAATGACTAAGGATGATATCCTTTTAACATTATTTACAATTGAGCCCTTATAGTTTCTAGCCAGTTTAAGATGCTTTATCCAATTGTTTCCCAAATCCATTTTAAGTTGAAATAATGATTTGCTTAGTGAGAATTCAGGTGTGTGGTGTGCTAGTATTAATAATAGCCTAAAGCACCTACTGCTCTTATAGAAAAGAATAGAAATGAAATAACTGGCAATTGTTGAAACTTAAAATACTTTGAAGTACATTGAGAAATCACATAATCAACCCATCTCTTTGCTAGAGTTATATTTCTGTTTGGGAGGAAAAAGTAACTCATGGTTTTTTTAAAATTTATTTATTTTGTCAAGCGATAACAGGTATAACAGGTATAAGTATAAACATAGTTATGAATACATAAAATGGATACATATAAGAAAAATAAAATAAAAAATGAAAGAAACAACAGGACAGGGACAGTAGGCAAATTGGTGCACTTATGCACACCCCCTACAGACCTCTTAGGAAAGGGGTGAGGTCAATAGTAGACAGTCTAAAGTTAAAGTTTTTGGGGTTTGGGGAAAAAACCCACAGAGTCAGGTAGAGTATTCCAGACATTGACCACTCTGTTGCTGAAGTCGTATTTCCTGCAATCAAATTTGGTGCGGTTTACCTTGAGTTTGTATCTATTGTTTGCTCTTATATTGTTATGGTTGAATTTGAAGTATTCATTGACAGGTAGGACATTGCAGTGTATGATTTTATATACTATACTTAGATCGGACCGAAGGCAGCGTAGTTCTAGGTTTTCTAGGTCTAGAATTTCAAGTCTGGTGGCATAAGGTGTTGTGCAACGAGTAGAGGAATGGAGAATTCTTCTTGTGAAATATTTTTGGACTTTCTCAACTGTATTACCAGAGAAAAAGTTACATAGGATTAGGTTAATAACTCTTAATGCCTTTTTGTAGTTACAGTGGGTTCTAGCAGTTAGATCATTAGAGATGAGTACTCCAAGGTCCTTGACAGAGTTTGGATCATGTTGTTCTTTTCAGCTTAGGATAGGGTTTTAAGCATCTTCTAATCAAAATGGAATGCTGGCCAAATTGGTCTGATCTTTGATTTTTTAAAAATGTTTTGGTTTTGGAGGCTCTATTTCTCTATAAAGTAATTATGTTCTTATTTGTTTTATTTATGCAATTTTTCACCTGAATGAATACTTTATACAAAAAGATACAAGCTCTATAGGGACATCTATTAACCTGAAGCTGTTTAGTAATGAGCGCATTCTGTGTTGATGAAAACATTAACTGGATGAATCCATTGTAGGTTCTCATTAAAACCAAGATTAGTATGGAAGATTCTCATTTATCTGTGTAAAGCAGATTGTCTGGACCTGGATTGTTTCAATCATGGGTGGCTCTGAAGCTCCATTTCTGATGTAATTTTCAGGATTTAATTCTCTTTGACCACATTAAAAAGGGGAAGAAGAAAAAGCTTGTGTGTTTGTTTTTTTGTAAATGCGATAGTATGGGCTATACTAGATTATTGATCAACAGATTTAGCCTCAATTCAGAATTGTTTTGTGATCATGACACCCTTGGTTATTCCATATTGGATGTTAGAATTCACCTCCTTTCTTTTGGGTCAGTTCCAGTCTGTGGTAATTGGGGAAGAACGATCTCAGCCCCTACTGAGTGGGGTGCCAGATGGGTTAGTGCTCTGTCCACTCCTTTTCAACCTTTACATGAGGCTGCTGGGTAACTCAACTGTCACCCTGGGGCAAAGTATCATCAGTGTGCCCATCATACCCATTTATACATCTGTGCCCCTGGCAAATTAAGTGATGCTATGGAAGTCTTATCCTGCTATCTGAAGGCTATGGGAGCTTGGATAGGGAGCAATAGACTTCAACTGAATCACGACAAGATTGGGTTGCTCTGGATTTGAGTCCTAACAGTTCTAGGAGTATGCCAATCAGTGGTGCTGTATGGGGTTGCACTGGCCCAAATAGAAGCGCAGTTCCTGCTCAAAAAGCAGGTAGCAATCATAGCTAAGGGACCCTTTGTATAACTTCATTTTGAGCACCAGTTATGCCTGTTTCCAGTTGTGGGGGCTCTACTCGTGGTCATTCGTGCCCTAGTCACCCCCCTGTTTAAATATTGTAATGCGTTCTACATGGAGATGCTTTTTAAAATTCAGAAACTTGAACTGTAAAATGCAGTAGTGTGGATAGTTATGTGTCTTTTCTAGTAGAAACACATTGGTTACCAGTTTGCTTTCCAGGTCCAATTCAACGTGCTGATTTTGACCTGCTTCTTCCTGATTACATCTGCCATTCCCACCAGCCGAGAAGGCATGTTATGGGGTCCTACCAACTAGAGAGCTATATTTGGCAGGGTCTAGGTGTAAGGCCTTCTCTATTGTGGCACTTGCCTTATGAAAATATTGTCTCTTCTGAAGTGGGACTGGCTTCATCACTTTTGACCTTCCAAAAGTCCCTCAAAATCCAGTTGTGTCATCAGACTTTGGGATGACTCCATGGTTTATCCAGTAGAGCTGACAGTAGTGACAAATACTATAGGTAGTTCTCAATTTATATATCTCATTGAACCCAGAATTACATCCATAAGTCATTGTGATTGTAAATCAAGCCATGTGACCGGAAGTAATATTTTGACCTCTTTTGTA